TGCGAAGTCCTTTACCACTCTAATGAAACCCCTTTGGCAAATTTTTAATAGTACTATTTAGAAAAGGATTTTTGTTTCTGAAGTTTTCAGTGGTCTGTATTAGGAGTCAACGCATCGTACATGCATGTCTTTGTGTACAAAACATAAACCTTACATTATTTGTAACCTTCAAGAAGGCGTGTTCGTCTTTGCTACCGTTATAATTTTTGCCATACAGCCAGGTTTTCAAGTAGTATATCAAGCATGAGACACAGTATTTCATCACCAGATGAAACACTGCGAGGAGAGTTGAAAATAAGACGCGCAGTCGAGTATTTTTCACGAACCTCGAGGTGTTTCCTCTGGTGATAAAACACTGTGTCGAATGCTTGAGATTACTTCTCAAACAAAATGAATTATTAATGAGTTTGAGAAATAATCGTGCGGATTGTCTCGAGCGCCCCCGGCATCTCAACAAGTGTTTAGGCGATTGAGATGGTCATATGGTAACACGCGTGACGCCATGTGGGACGATCGGACGATTGGGCGATCAGAATTTTTTATTTTTATTTTACTTTGGTCACTATTGAGATTGAAAAGGTTTAGACACGCAAACTTCACTACCACGATAAGTGTCAAGCCCGTATAAAAGGTTCGCTCTTTTAAAAGTCAATTAAATTGTCATTTCTTATTCCTCCTTTTAGAACCCGGTCCACCATCACAAGTCAACGTCTATGCCTTCGCAAAATATATCCTGGTTACATGGAAAGCTCCCGTGGAACCGAACGGCGTTGTTACAAAATATCGAGTGAGGTCGGCGCAGTACAAATGTTCGCAGCCAAGCGTCGCTCTTCAGGTATCCCGGCAGGAAGTCGGGCCAGGCGTTTTTAGGAAGCTGCTGGACAATCAGACGACGGAGAGAAATTCTGATGTAGAAATACAAGCACAGACAAGCAAAGGGTGGGGCGATAAAGTCAGAAAGACAACTCTCACTGTGGCATATGCTCGTAAGTAATTTTTCAACATTTTATTGATTAGTTCTGGAGTCAACTCTCTCATTGTGGTGACCTCGCTGAGGGCTTAAAAATTGTGAGTAGTTAAATCCCCGGTAAAACTGCATCGCACTTTGAGGTGCTTTTCTTTGCCTTCACTTCACGACGACGATCCGCGAAATTTGCTAATGCGAGGCACCACAAGCTCAGAATTCCTCGCTGTTCCAAATAATAATGCGCCCTTCTATTCTAGAGCGCGTGCAATCCTCGCGCCTGCGTGTATGTTAACACTAATGGCCACAAGTGGACTGTAGGGGATCTTTCAGCTTGTTATGAATTCCGTTAAGTTATATTTAGATACCTGTAAAATGATTATTTTTTCTCAGCTCCCGCCAAACCAGAAAGACCCACCGTGGAGGGAATCGCTGTGGATAAAGTTAGAGTTACTTACAAATTTGGCCTGGGTGGAGGCTACACGCATGAGTTCTTGGTCATGTATCGAAGGAAATGTAAGCATTTTTAAAGATGTTAATAAATGAAAGCTCGTTAACCCCTACACACCCAGAGTAACTGACTGAGGCCTTTTAGATGGTTCTACCATTTGAGTATATCGTTCTATCTTTTGAGTCTGAAGACAAAATTCTATGGTGTGACAATTCAAATAAAACCCCTATGGTTTTACTTTCACTTTGACTTTGTACTATTCATTTGTTTTATTTTTTTTTCCTTTTTTTCACATTGTACAAATTAATTAACTTTGGAATTTTTGCCACTTTGGGAGTGAAAGGGTCACACATTAATGACAAAGTCGACGCTCTTTTACACACAACTCCTATGACGGACACCTTTTTCTTCAACCGTTGTCTTTGGCTTTCCATAAGGCTGGCACCTCTGTAGGACGGACGCTGAGTTGCTAAATTAAGTGTTACATAATAATTCAATAAGTAAAAATATGGCGACGTCGAGTTTGACGTTCCCAGTTAATTTTTAGAAAAATTCGCTTAGTTTGGCGGTCATAGCTGAACAGTTTGGAAGTTATTCAACTTTTTAGTGGGGGGGGGGGGGGGGTAACCCCCCCGGTATTTCGTGGGTAAAAAGAAAAAACCAATTTGGAATTGGGGGGGGGGGGGTTTTTTAAAAATTTTTTTTTTTTTTTTAAAAATTGAAAGGAGAAAAAAGGGGGAAAAAAAAAAAAGATCCCTCCACATGAAGTAATTATTGAAAAATGTGTGTATTATATTTTTTTTTTGGGGGGGGGGGGGGGGGGGCTAACCCCCCCGGTATTACTAGGGTTAAACGAACAAACCAATTTGTAATTGGAGGGGTGAGAGCTTTTTAAGAATTTGTATATGTTGTCATGAAATTGCACGAGTAAGAAGAGGAGAAAGAAATGAAACGTCTCCCTCAGTTAAG